TTGGTAGATTGCTCTGATCTGGTGGATATCGTCCGATCTCCAGGAATGGCCTGCGTTTTCGATTCTATCAGCTAAGCTCAGGGATTTGCAAAATCGTATTTTTCAATTTTCTCTATCTTTGATTTCTCGTTCTATTAATTTAAAGACGGACTATTTAGCCCGTTCTGCACGTACTAGAGCTTTTAATTTTTCATTTGTAAGTAACATTCCGCCAAGTTAGATGACCAACTGTGGTGGCATATTTTAAGTAATAGTTTGGTTGACAAAAAAAATATATATATTTGGCGAATATATTTATAGTAAAAATAGATAGATATTCATCGTTTTAATCTTTTATTTTTTAAACAATTTATCGAAGAAAATTAGACCAATTTCATATATTTATTGATTAATTAGTTTAAATCTTATATTAAAACATTTTTTTTTGAAAAAAATATTATGGTTTAAAAAAAAAAAATTGTTTAAAACAGATATCCGCGAAGATCCGGATATCGGCAAATATTTAAAAAAAATCCGGATATCCCTCATTCTAGATATTCGAAATTTTTCGAAACAAAACAAATCGGAAAATTAGATATCTGTCAAAAACAAATTATATCACAAATACTGCATTTTTTCCGGACTAATCCGCGTCCAGGCCTAGTATACTTTGCGTTTATATAGTAAATCGTTTTTGTAGGAGTCGTTGTTATCTTTGTTAGGAGTCTAATTGACTAACCATTTGATCTATACGTTTAATATATTTTTTGTGTTGAAGTAAAAGTGTAATGTTAAATGAGAGTTGTTATTTCGAGCTTATATAATTGATTGATCGTGTTTTTATTTTAAAATAAAATTGATTCTGTTGAGTTTTTAATGTTTTGCATATATTGCTCATAGTTAACCATATGTAATTTGTGTCCGATATTCGAGCAACATAAACCTTTGCAAAATGAATAAAGTGTATTTGTGTCTAAACCATAGCATAACTGTTAGGTTATTGTGTAGTGGTCTAGTGGAGATTGAATCTAGCATTTCCAATTCGATTTATTTGAGAATAATTTGCTAAGAAAATAATTAAAACTGAAATTATTTCTCAACATCAATATTAGGTGCACATTTCCTTTTTTGCCATATCACTCTCAAATTTTCTGATATTATTTTTGTTTGGAGTTGGACAGTCAGTCTCGATCAAACTTACAAGTGGATTTATCACAACACTACGAAATCCATACCACCATGAATCTTTAGATAAAGTTAACAATGGAACAATGTTACTATACTAGCTAATTCCAAAAAAAAAAAAAAAAGGCTAGTAGCCAACAAAAATAACTAAAATGTACATTATTTTTTTATTTTTTTTTAATGAGGAAGAAAGATAGTTCAAACAAGCAAGGAATATCTATTTATTCTTAAAGCCATACAAATTAAAACTAAAAAGAAATAGGAATCTCATTTTCCACGTCAAAATGTTGAACCACCATGGATACCAAAGGATTAAAAGAAACAAAAAGAGTAAAAACGAATTTTGAGGGGAAAATAATAATAAGAAAACAACAGTTAATCAAGTTGGTGGGTCTGGTTATAATGGACAAGACATACCTATTCATGTTTCGTTGAATCTCATATTTGGAATTTTCTTCTATCGAAATTATATATTTTTACATTTAACTTAATTATCTTATGAGACGAACCTGTTGAAGATATGGGAGCTAGCCTGTTAAAAGTATCAAACTATGACGATTTGTTCATATTTAATTCAACAAATGCATTTTCTTCGTGTCTGAAAAATTCTGTTGTGTTTAAGATATATATGATTAAGATCGGATGTACAAATAAACAAATAAGAACATTGTGTCTTCTTAGTTTATGATATGGATAATGGACTCTTAACTTGTTGATTGTGGCATATTGTATTATTGTGTGCCAAGTTGCTAACGTAATTTTCATAGATAGAGCCACAGAGGTTATCTACCCCTTGATTAAAATTTCGTCTATTTATATGTGTAAAATTAAATTATATGCACATGGTTTCATTTTCGAAGAGTTTATTTGTTCTTCCACTTTTTATTTTCATGAATTTTATATAAAAAAACTATTATAATTTCTATAACTCAGATTTTTTCAAAGAAAATAACACACCAACATTTTTTTTTTTAATTCCAAATTTATAAACCATAAGAAAATATCGTGTGTATCCAATTTGTAATATGGAAAAAAAAAAAAACTATTACGTACATATTTGTAAAACTAGGACGCATGAAGAAGATTATGTTAAAATCACCTCGTACGAGTGTTACTCATATATTATGCCCAATCTTTATTTTCTTTTTACTCTTTTGTGTTTTGTTCGTTAATGAACATGGAAAGGGACAACACAAAGTAGTTGTTCTGTCTCAACAGTTCCATGTTCAAACTGGAAAAGCTGTTTATACTTGACCAGAAACTCAAAGTGTTAATAATAATGTTTTGTTCAGCAGATATATTTGGCTGGTGACCCAATTTAGGTGGATACTTTAAATAATTAAAAGAAATACTCATTCAGGTAATGTCCATTAATTAGTGTTTTTTCCTTAATTAACGTCGGTAATTTCTATTAGTAGATAACGCTGAATTCGTTACTCATAATAACTTGAAAATTTTGTGTTTGGTCTCTTTTTAACTATCTCGGACCACAAGGACTGCATCATCTGTTCATTTCATCCCTATTGAGGCAGACATCAATCTGGCACACTCTAACAACCTAATAGTAATATTGTTAGTTTATAATAATTTTAAATTCAAGTGATCCAACCGATATGGACTTCTACATTTTTTTTTACTACACCTAAACGTGAATTTCATTGACAAGACAATTCGCAATCGTTTCAGCTCTATCCGATCCATGGAGATCATACTTACAACCAGAACCGTGTCCACCATGTTAAAATTTAAACATTTGCCTAGGACATCATTGTCTTACATAAAGCATTTAAAGACATATAATAGTGAAAATTAACTATGGTGATAACCATCTAATAAAATTTGATATTTGATGATTAATTATAGTGGTGGTGGCCATCTTAAATCAGTTTAACATGGACTCAAGTTGAATATATTTTTATTATTTCTCTTTCTTTCTAATTTTTTTGTATGCAACTTCACTTTTTAACTTATGTTTTTGGTAGATCTTTTTTCCAACACATGTTTCTGGTAGACTTAAAGTGTTTTATTAGTTTAAAAAATTACACATATTTTCTTTTAAATGTTTAGAGCACATTAAACATCAAATTTATTGGTGCGTCAATAAAATCTCAAATTGTTCTACAAAGTTTTATATTAGAAATAGTGATAAGAATGGACCGTAGTTCTTTTAATTGTTTAGGGCATCTAAAATGATAGGAACCGCTCTGCTTATCACGAAGGTTTAAGTATGTGGTTTCGCATCTATCCGACATTCAAAAACAGTTTCAGACTCTTTGTTTCATTCTGTTTTGTATTGTCAGAGCATTTAGAACACCGTAACAAAAATTGTGAAAAACATTTTTGTCGTTTGAATAAATTTTAACATTCATCGAAAACAAAAATCATGTTAAAACGAACTAATGTTTTCAATTGCAAAACGAGTTTAATCTTGTTTGATTATATTGTAGGCAATCGAGCCATAGATAATGTTCGATGACATTATATTGGCTATATCTATGGCCAAGCTGTGGTTATAGGTCACAAGCATATAAATACTTTGAATTATTGATAACACAAATACACAAGGATTGCATCTTTGAATATATAACATAACACATCTCAAACTGGACAACTACATACTTGGGTTTGATTCAGAAAGTTGTGGCGGTAAATCAAATAGCTTAAAAAGGAAATAATGTATACATAAACTTACATGAAGAGAACTAGCTAGGAACCAATTAAAGTGCTGCATTCTCACAAACCATCCAAAAGGGATCTAAGTCAATATATATATAGAAGCATGGTTAGGTTGCATTTGTTATTTTTAGTGTCGATCAAAAATCAGTCGATTGTGGCTCTCTGTCTACAACTCTTGGCTGCAGCAGATACAAGAAAAAATTGTCAAGTTAAGGAGAAAAGTTACATGATGAGATATGTGGTATGGTTATATCACAGTGAGAAAGAGCAATTACCCGGACTTAAGATTCGTAGACATTTTGTTATGGACTTTACAGTAGTCCTGGAGTCGGATCCTGCAAATCAAAACACAAAGAGTATCAGTGGAAACAGATTTTATATATCTATAATATCAAGTGAAGATTGAAACTAAACCCACCTTGTGTGTTCATCATGTCTTTTCCTTGAATTGTTTCTGTCACTGTTGATGTGTACTCTGATACAACCTGGTCAGGTACTAGATTCTCGTGCATTGATTCAGAAGATGATCTGTGATTTCAGAATTGGATCTAATAAGTAAATTGGAATTTTCAAATGATTCTTAAGCCCAAGAGAAGGAGAACATACCCTCCTGAAGCAGTGTCTATGTGATAGTTTGAAGGATGTGGCAAGGAAGGGTCTTGTATTTCTTCACAGCCAATATCGAAATCGACTAGCAGCTCAGAGAACGAAAAGCTTTCGCTAAGAAGATCTATGTTGGAAAAATCCATGTCGAATAAATCAGTTTCTGTTTCAGAGCCTGATGATGAAGAAGTTGAAACCAACTCGGCAGTGGCAGGTGCATCTAAGTGCATTGTGGCTTCAGTGTCATCAAAGTTGAGCCTTCCTTTCACATGATCTCTTTTACTCGACATCTTCAGATTAGACTTAACCGGCGAAAAAGAAGAAACCATATGGCTCCTTTCCATTGTATAAGAAGCAATTTGTTTGAGAGGACTGACTGTGATTCTCTCCTTTGTAACAATTGTATGGTTTGTAGGAGTAATTTCTTGCTGGGGAGTGATAGATTCATCACTCTGAAAAGATACTTGCTTTTGTGGTGTCCTCGGACAAGCTGAATTTGTCAGAGACGATCTGTCAAACAAACACTTTGCCACACTTGCAGATGACTCATTAAGTCCACGGTTGTTTATCACCGGCGTTTGTTTTTCAGATGATGAATGAAATGTCAAGTAGTTTGTCGCCTTATCAGCTCGTGTAATCTTTTTCATTCCTGGAATAAGAAAAAGAAGACACAGAGCAAGTTTAGGGGTAATGGAGACTTAAAGGTATCATATAGATTGAATCTTTAAAGAGTACATTTGAAGTACAACTACCTTTCTTAGACACAGAAGGAGCCTCTACAGAAACCTCAGGACTCTTTCTCTTTTTGGTTATAGACTGACTGATAGAAGGTGCTGTGAAATTCCCAACTCTCTTGTTCCCTGGTAATGACACTGGCATAACATTAGGTGTGTTAATGTTCGCGGTGTGGCCTGGAAATAAGAACAACATGTCATTAGTAATAGAGAAGCAAAATCCAGATACATCAACCAAACGTATGTTATACAATCATCTTTCCAATGAACATTCTCTGGAAACATATCAACCAATTCACAAATTTGGCACAACAAGAGTTGCCTCTACTCAAACAACAGGTTCAATCTCAAAGCCAGAGTAACTCGCAATCAGTGTCACTAACATAACATTATATCATTCCAATTTAGTCTCTCAGTATTAAACCAAAAAAGCAGCAGAAATCTTCAGTACCTGAAGGAGAGACGTCGAAATTGATCGATGGAGAAGTCGAGGAAACCACTTGAATAGCCACCGCCGCCGCCGGAGCTGCCGACGGGATCACCGGAGAAGGAACCGGTGCGGTGGAGTTGTAAGCGTTCATCACATCCTGCATTCCATTCAATAGATTTTGAACCCTAATTTTCTCCTGCTCGAGCCTAACTTTCTCTTGATCTACCATCACTTTCTGCTCCTTGAGGCAGATGTATTCGTTCAAAATATCATCCAGAGGTATCAAACTATTCGGAACCTATGAAAATCAAATCCATAAGATTAAGAACAACCACAGATTTTGTAA